GAGGGATCTTGGGGCCTGTTGGGCCGTCGAGGGCGGTCGGCAGCTCGCAAAGGCGGTACCGTCAAAATCGCTTGCGAACCTTAGCAAAATTACGCTACCGAGGAACCCCACATACTTACTTTATGTCACGTGTGTTCACAAACCATATCACATCCCGCTGCGCCATCCTGACGAGCCAGACTGACCAGACCAGCCAGATCAGCCAGACCACCCAGACTGACCAGACCAGTCGGATCAGTCGTTCCAGCCATAACCAGCCAAATTAATCAGACCAGCCAGCCACGCCTGCTGTGCCTGGACGACCGTCGTGCATAGCGGCCGCGGTGAGAGACCACCCCCTGCGCACCCCTTGTGGTGTCGAGAAATTGCCACGCCTGCTGTGCCTGGACGACCGTCGTGCATAGCGGCCGCGGTGAGAGACCACCCCCTGCGCACCCCCTGTGGTGTCGAGAAGGTGCCACGCCTGCTGTGCCTGGACGACCGTCGTGCATCGCGGCCGCGGTGAGAGACCACCCCCTGCGCACCCCCTGCGGTGTCGAGAAAGTGCCACGCTTGCTGTGCCTGGACGACCGTCGTGCATAGCGGTCCGCGGTGAGAGACCACCCCCTGCGCACCCCCTGTGGTGTCGAGAATGTGCCACGCCTGCTAGGCTTTGCGCCAATGTCGTGGATAGCGGCCGAGCTGAGAGACCACCCCCTGCGCACCCCCTGTGGTGTCGAAAAGTGCCACGCTTGCTAGGCTTTGCGCCAGTGTCGTGGATAGCGGCCGCGGTGAGAGACCACCCCCTGCGCACCCCCTGTGGTGTCGAGAAGGTGCCACGCTGCTGTGCCTGGGCGACCGTCGTGCATCGCGGCCGCGGTGAGAGACCACCCCCTGCGCACCCCCTGCGGTGTCGTGAAAATGCTACGCCTGCTGTGCCTGGACGACCGTCGTGCATAGCGACCGCGGTAAGAGACCACCCCCTGCGCACCCCCTGTGGTGTCGAGAAAGTGCCACGCTTGCTAGGCTTTGCGCCAGTGTCGTGGATAGCGGCCGAGCTGAGAGACCACCCCCTCCGCACCCCGTTGGTGTCGAGAAAGTGCCACGCCTGCTAGGCTTTGCGCCAGTGTCGTGGATAGCGGCCGAGCTGAGAGACCACCCCCTGCGCACCCCCTGTGGTGTCGAGAAAGTGCCACGCCTGCTAGGCTTTGCGCCAGTGTCGTGGATAGCGCCGAGCTGAGAGACCACCCCCTGCGCACCCCCTGTGGTGTCGAGAAAGTGCCACGCTTGCTAGGCTTTGCGCCAGTGTCGTGGATAGCGGCCGAGCTGAGAGACCACCCCCTGCGCACCCCCTGTGGTGTCGAGAAAGTGCCACGCCTGCTAGGCTTTGCGCCAGTGTCGTGGATAGCGGCCGAGCTGAGAGACCACCCCTTGCCCACCCCCTGTGGTGTCGAGAAAGTGCCACGCCTGCTAGGCTTTGCGCCAGTGTCGTGGATAGCGGCCGAGCTGAGAGACCACCCCCTGCCCACCCCCTGTGGTGTCGAGAAAGTGCCACGCCTGCTAGGCTTTGCGCCAGTGTCGTGGATAGCGGCCGAGCTGAGAGACCACCCCCTGCCCACCCCTTTGGTGTCGAGAAAGTGCCACGCCTGCTAGGCTTTGCGCCAGTGTCGTGGATAGGGACCGCGGTGAGAGACCACCCCCTGCGCACCCCCTGTGGTGTCGAGAAAGTGCCACGCCTGCTAGGCTTTGCGCCAGTGTCGTGGATAGCGGCCGAGCTGAGAGACCACCTCCTGCCCACCCCCTTTGGTGTCGAGAAAGTGCCACGCCTGCTAGGCTTTGCGCCAGTGTCGTGGATAGCGGCCGAGCTGAGAGACCACCCCCTGCCCACCCCCTGTGGTGTCGAGAAAGTGCCACGCCTGCTAGGCTTTGCGCCAGTGTCGTGGATAGCGGCCGAGCTGAGAGACCACCCCCTGCGCACCCCCTGTGGTGTCGAGAAAGTGCCACGCCTGCTAGGCTTTGCGCCAGTGTCGTGGATAGCGGCCGAGGTGAGAGACCACCCCCTGCGCACCCCCTGTGGTGTCGAGAAAGTGCCACGCCTGCTAGGCTTTGCGCCAGTGTCGTGGATAGCGGCCGAGCTGAGAGACCACCCCCTGCCCACCCCCTGTGGTGTCGAGAAAGTGCCACGCCTGCTAGGCTTTGCGCCAGTGTCGTGGATAGCGGCCGAGCTGAGAGACCACCCCCTGCCCACCCCCTTTGGTGTCGAGAAAGTGCCACGCCTGCTAGGCTTTGCGCCAGTGTCGTGGATAGCGGCCGAGCTGAGAGACCACCCCCTGCCCACCCCCTGTGGTGTCGAGAAAGTGCCACGCCTGCTAGCCTTTGCGCCAGTGTCGTGGATAGCGGCCGAGCTGAGAGACCACCCCCTGCGCACCCCCTGTGGTGTCGAGAAAGTGCCACGCCTGCTAGGCTTTGCGCCAGTGTCGTGGATAGCGGCCGAGCTGAGAGACCACCCCCTGCCCACCCCCTTTGGTGTCGAGAGAGTGCCACGCCTGCTAGGCTTTGCGCCAGTGTCGTGGATAGGGACCGCGGTGAGAGACCACCCCCTGCGCACCCCCTGTGGTGTCGAGAAAGTGCCACGCCTGCTAGGCTTTGCGCCAGTGTCGTGGATAGCGGCCGAGCTGAGAGACCACCCCCTGCCCACCCCCTTTGGTGTCGAGAGAGTGCCACGCCTGCTAGGCTTTGCGCCAGTGTCGTGGATAGCGGCCGAGCTGAGGGACCAACCCCTGCGCACCCCCTGTGGTGTCGAGAAAGTGCCACGAGCTGTGCTGTGCTGAGCTGAGCTGAGCCGTGCTGGGCTGTGCTGAGCTGTGCTGAGCTGAGCCGAGCTGTGCTGTGCTGAGCTGAGCTGTGCTGTGCTGTGCTGAGGTGAGTTGAGCTGAGCTGAGCAGTGACGTGACGAGGGGGGGAAGAGTGAAGTGTGTGTGTGTGAGTGAGGGGAGGAAGAAAGAGAGAGGAGGGCGGGTGTGGGTGAGACGCGGGTGTGGCGCGGGTGGGAAGAGAACCAGAACCCCACGAAACATGTGGGGAATCAATGATTGTTGCGTCGTCGGGTCCTCTCGAAGTCCTCGTGGAACCCTCCTGGAGCGTCTCCGTCCGTCTTGGGACCAACGTTGACCATCTTGGAACGCTCTTGGCCGGAGGCCGTGGGGCGTGCCACCCTTTTGGCGCCTCATTGGGACGCTCGGGGTTGGCCCGAGGACGTGCCCAGGAGTTCCGGCATCTCTGACCCGACCTTGCCAGGATTTTGCGCGGGTATTTTTCGTTCGCGGACCCCTTGGGACCGCCACGCACGCGCGAACTAGAAACAGTTTGCAACTCTTACTGGAGATTGTAGCACGCCTCTGGCAAGTTGGGCCGGTGAATTCTTGGGCTCGCATTGCATATTTATGCATTGCCGCTGATCAGGCCCATCCTGGACCAGGAACGGTGTACACGCCTACCCGGGGACGGCCAAGCCAGGAGGAAGAATGCACCGCTCCTGGTCCCAGGATGGGTTTTGGCCACGAGCAGTGAATTCTCACAGATTCGGGAGCGCGGCACGTCGAGTCCTATGCTGCTGGTGCGCCCCCCTCGAGTCTCTCACCGGCTTCGAAGATAAAGTTGCGGCATCTTCGCGCCGTCTCGACGCGGCAGCGACCCCGCCTCGGGCGTTCAGGGTTGAACTCCGCCAGTTGCACAGAATCGGCCAACGCAGATCGACCTTGTGATCGAAAAGCCGCCGATCGTTCAGTGTTGTGTTGAACTGTCCACGCGGTGTCAGGAATCAACGCCGAGGTCGTCACGACGCACACCTGTCTGAACGGCATGGACGCCTTCCTGAGGTCCGCGCGGATTTCTTGGGTCGGCGCTGGAGCCCCCTCCCTGGCCAGCGGGCGGAGCGCGCTGGGAGCGGCGCCGGGAGCGGTGCCGGAGGCGCCGCCAGGGGAGTGCAGCGCCGATCCAAGATATCCGCGTGGACCTCCAGGAAGGGTATGTTCATGCCATCCAGACAGGCAGGTGCGTGCCTTGTCGCATGGATTGTTCAACCTCGAGCAATCGGCGCTTTTCTATCGCGCGGATCTCCGAACAATTCTGCTTAAATGTTTGGTTTCTCTAGCACATTGCCCAGAAAGGGGCGGTGATGATTTGTTCCTTGGCTGCCAGGTTTTCTTGTTACCAGGTTCGGCTTGACCGACCCCTTGAAAACCTACCCCTCCGTGACGATTCCCCCGCCTCGTTGCAACACATGGGCAAGCAGCCCAGAGGGGAAATCGGCCACGCGCCCAGGGGGGTTAGCAGAAGGGACAAGGCTTCTTAGAGGCAATCTTGCTTGTTAGAAGGCGTGTGCCTTATCTGTAGGTGTAGGGCCGGCGCCTTCTGATAAGCAGCCGCTTTCTACGAAGCTTCCCCCTTCCCCCCTACCCCCTTGTCCGCGCCGCCAAGACGGGGTCCCCCTCGCCACGGGAGGGGTCGGCTTGGCCGGGCCAGATGGTGCCCCGCGCGTCCAGAGACGAATGTTCAAACACCAAGGGCCGATTGCCGCTCGATGCTTCTTTGGGCGGCGCGCGCAAGGGCTTGGCTCAAGGGGGGGGGGCCTCCTAAGAAGGCGGCGCGCTTCTTAGAAGGCAAGGGCCTTCTCAGAGGGGCCTGGAGGTCACTAAGAGAAGCGGGGAGGGCTTCTAAGAGGGCCCCTGCCTTCTGAGAAGCTCACCCGCCTTCTCAGGAGGCCGCCACCCTCGCGCAACCCCCTTGTGCGCGCCGCCAATTCTTGAAACTCCCAGAACACATCCTGAGCCAATTGCACTATGGCGCCTTATCTACGTCCTAACGAAGGCGGGGCGCTGCTTCGGTCGAACGGTGTGAGCTTTCAGGGTGCGTTGGCTCCCCCACGGCCCCACGGCCAGCTGCATCATTGATCCCCTTGACACGGTTGTTAGTCCGGTGCTCGCCACGGCCTTAGCAGAGAGAGAGAAGTGAGCCCCCAGGCGGCGCTCCGAAGGGCGCTCGCCCGCGCATGGCGGAAGGACTTTGCTTTGCTGGCCTGCTTGGTCAGAGCCATTCATCATTTTGGATTCGGGTTCCATGCCAATTCTTGGTGTGTGTATGTGTGCGTGCGTACATGTATTTGCATGTGTGTGTGTGTGTACGCATGCGTGCGCGCGTCTGCATGTTTGTGTGTGTCCTGGTACGTGTGCGAAAACAGTGTTCGGTGGCCAGAAGAGGAGGGCGGGCGAGTTGGTCGATGAGACGGAGGGGGGAGGAGCCTGGTGGGTGAAGGATGGAGCGTGTAGGATAATAAAATGGAGGTTGGAGGAGAAGATTGGGGAGGTTGGACGAAGAGAAAGAGAGAGAGAAAGAGATAGGGGGATAGAGAGGGAGAGAGAGAGAGAGAGAGAGAGAGAGCGAGAGAGAGAGTATGTCCGATGGCGGTGTGCCTTTTACCATCGCATGGCGCAGGGCTAGGCAGCCAGCTCCTCGGCTATGAGCGCTGGTGACCTGAGGAGCCCCCCTGCAGGAGCCAAATGCTTCAGAGTGCGATCCAGAGGCCTCGGGAACCAAAAGTTGATGCGCAGTCCCCCTACTACGTGCAATCCAAAGGTCTCGGGAACCAAAATTTGACGCGCAGTCTCTTTACTGCGCCTCTCCAGGATGACCGGGGCGACGAGGAGAAGGAGGAGGAGACGGGGCGGGAGGAGAGAGGAGAGTCCCATTCACCGCGCCTGCGTGCGCGCATCACTCGGACTCTGCTCACCGGATTCCTCCAAGCCCCCAGGAGAGCAATATTGATCCAACTGCCGTTCCCATCGACCTGATCGAGCTGGCGATGAACTGGCGTTCCGAATCGTCGTAAAAGGTGAACGGCAACCCAATGTCGTCGGCTAGCCTTTGAATCTGACGAGCTTCTCGCGCGTGCGTGACCCGCAGCGTGGTCCATGCTTTCAAGACATCTTCGTACCTGGAGTCTAGCTGTGTCGGCAACGGTAATGTGAATGACAGCCCCACATTCACGATGTACACCAACGTGAAGCCAAGCATTGAAATACATCCCAAGGCAATCCAGCACTTGATAAGTAAAACCACGAATTGCCAAAATGAGCACGCCCAGAACCACGCAGAGTTCTCCGTAGCCGAAGCCATCCCAAAATCTAGTCAGATGCCCTGGCCCCTGATGATTGCCAGAACGCCCTCAGCCTTCTTCTTCGGGTCCTTCGGGATGTCAACCTCCGCGCTCTTGTACATTTTGTTGATGTTGCCCACGACGAGCTTCTTCTTCATGGCTTTCTGTATGCCCTTCACCAACGTCTCGGTGGAGTCGGAATCCTTGATCTCCGCGTCGCTGCCAACCAGTGAACGCAACCAGCCAAACTCAGAGCGAGACAACGTCGTCGAGCCAGAACCGTTTCGAGAGTCGCGGCCCCCATCAGGTCCATCGCGTGAACCCTGACCTCCACGACCACCGTGATCACGAACATCCGGCGGCGCAGGAGGAAACTCACGTCCACGTGGCGGCTCTGCCATGCCCCGCATGTCCTTGAGCACGTCCTCGAACGTGGACTTCATCGCCTCGGCCAGGAGCAGGCCCGTCGCCCTGTGCTCCTTCTCGCGGTCCTTGAACGCCTTCTCCCGCTGCATGTCGGCAAACTCCGGGTCCGCGCGCGCCAACTGGCGTCGCAGGTTCTCAACGTACTGCTCCCTCGAGTCTTCCTCCTCGAGGCGCTCGACCCACTGAGGCTTGCGAGGGCCGCGGCGGTCCCAGCCCCCATCATACGGTCCGGGGGCCCACTGACCGTAACGGCTACCACCAGAATAGTCCCTGCCACGATGATCATCACGGCGGCCATCACGACGCTCAGAGGGATGCCGGCGCTCACCTCTCGAGTAACCTTTGCCTCCCATGGGCGCCTGCGTGCGGAGCTTCAGCCAGCGAAGGAAATGGAATCGCACCTTCTGAGCCGCAATGCACCACGGGAGACGGAAGACAAGGGCTCTGAGCAACGAAGCCGGATATGAAAGATAATGCATCTCCGGAACCGCCTCAAGAATCGAAAGAGCGGCAACTGACGGATCAAGGCCAAGCATTCGTGATCGAGCCAGCCTCCCAGCCAGGGCCCCATAGAGAAGACCGAAGGAGCGAGGTAAACAGCCAGGCCAGTCCAAAATCGTTCGAACACCCTTCCTGGACTTTTCGTCGTACAGCCATTCCCGGTTCAAGTTCTTAGGGAGGAAACGATGCTCGGCCCAACCGCGGACAATTCCAAGTCAAGCCACCGAACTGCGCAATCACGGGGGCGATGCTCGAAAGCGGGTGAAAGTTTCACGCCGTAAACAGCCTTGGTATACATTGATGTGCAATCTTGGCAATACGACGGACTTATACTCAAGATATCGTCAACGAATCGTTTCAGACCGACGTCGACGCCTCCAGTCGGACGTTGCACAAAACCCATCCGGAGAAATCGATCGGGATCCCGTTCTGCCTGAATCTCTGCGCGCACAGCAAGATACTGAGGCCAACGCCTGACAGAACGCCCCCAATCGGTAGGCCTTGCAATTCAAAAATGCCCCCCACGAGACTGACCAAACTCACCCAGCAGAAGGCTAGCATTCCCCGGGCAACGTCCTCAGTAGTAATGCGGAACCATCCTCGTGGACACGTTGACGAAGTGGACGGTGCCACCTGGACTCGTCTGGCACGCCGTACGAGGACAGCACCACAAGGCACAACGGCCTCGAAGGAGGCCGCCACAACCTGCCACGCTTCCAAGACAGCCGAAGATGAGCACTGTTCGTAGGCCTGGTCCGCGTCGTGCACGGTCAAGGTAAGACAGTGGAGTTGGCACCCACACCGTAAACAGGACGGGGAAATTTCCGCAGACAACGATGAGCGTAAAGAGCGAACCTTGTCAGCAATCTGGCCCATCTCGAACACCTCACAACCGGCCCCAGACATCGAGATCATAGCCCTCGCCGCACGCCCAAGCATCTTGTAGCCATAACCGCCAGGAACATTCGAGGAATCGACCACGCGCCGCATGCAGGAGTGGTTCTGCTTGAAGCAAATCCGGTCGCCCTTGGAAGTGAAGCACTTGGCCTTGATCAAAGGAAACACCGTCGGAATCTTCGTCTGGCACATCGGCGAAGGTACCTGGCGCCATCCTCGAAGCCAAAGCGGAAGGCCCAAATGAGCGCGTGCCCAGAGCCAAGACTGAACGGCCTCTTCGGTGAGGTCTGGCCTTGGCCGCCACGTAGGGTCTCGAAGGACTGCTTGACATAAGTATCTTGCCAGGTCGGGTCCATTTGCTCTCCAAACTTGGTCTTGGTCTTTATCGTCACAAACTAAGATCACCGAGGAAGGACCCCAGGCTGCTACCGACCTGGACGAAGAAGGTGGGCATGGAGAACACGCGCTCACAGACAACGACATGATATGCTCCATGCCCGCCCACTCTGGAGGAGCCGCTGGTACTCGCCTCACCAAGCTCTGTCGTGCCTGGCGGATGTTGGCCACACCATTGCGGATGACGCGGCGGTGAAGTCGCTGACCCAATGCCCAGTTGCAGAAAGCCTGAGTACACTCGCCAGGTAAATGGTCTGCCACGGGCCATTGGGGCAGCCGCCAAGACCCAGGAATCGCATGGAGGAGCCGAGGAGGTAGGAGCACAGTCTCTGCATCCAGTGGTTCAGGTAGTGGTCGAGCTTTGAACGTGCGGAAAAATCGGCTTGCAGATACCTTGTCCTTCCAAACCGGGACCTTCGAGAAACTGTACTTCATTCGAGGTTGTATCCACCGCCTCGCCTGTCGAAGTCGGATACTGGAAAGACTCGCTGACACACACGATTTTAAAATGTTCAATTTGACAGGGTCTTTCAACTGACAAGGTAGACGCACGCGGGGAACGCGAACCGAAGGAAGACCATGAACACGGAGTAGCTGGTCGATGCCAGCCATCACTGCGACAAGCCGATGGTAAGAATCTACCAGGGAAGACGCCAGCCACGCCGCACGGAAGAGAAAATCACAAATTTCCTGAATCGGCCAGTTGGGTAGCTTCAAACGCTTGCGATAACAGCCAAGCCAAGACAAGAACAAACCAACTCGATCACGATCAAAAATGTTTATCGGCCCCACTGTCTGAGAACTGTCAAGAGCATCGCGTTGGTGTCGAACAGACAACACACTGAAGGGGGCAAACTCAGCGAGCACGCCCGGGAGAATATCTTGAATTTCCAATTGGCGCCGAAGTTTTGGACAGGTGGGAAAATCGATGTCCAGATTGTGCGCGTAGACGCTGATGCTGCCGTCGGTGCTAAAGGTGAGGCACGTCGTTGCCAGGATGGAGGTCGACGTCGTACTTTCCGCTTCTTTTCACCAAATAGCAAAGCCTGTCCTTTTCGAAGGGAAGCCGATGACGCGACCTTCTCGTCCGCAGCGTTTGCCAGAGGCTGTACCTGGCGGATCGCATAAGACTCCAAAGAAAACGCTCCAACACTCGACTTCGTCCAAACACACGGCAAGAAGAATACGGAACCAAGGCTCCGCCGCAACAGCTTATAGCGAGGTCGATCTCCCGGAGGCTTGAAAGGAAAAAAAAGATATCGAACGTGTTCGGATAGCCGGCCGCAAAGCCCAGGAAGCCGTTCACGACACAACTTCGTTTTCCCACAATAGACACCCACATGGTTGGCTAGGATGTATACAACGCCCGCCATGCCCGCAACGGAGCCAGTAACAGTCGCTCGGACCAACTTGAAGACCAAGTACGAATCTCGACCTGCAAGGGCATCGTGCCATTCTGGAGGGAGAAGAATGAGAACACGCCGAGCCCATTGAGGAAGCTGCTGCAGTTGCAACGCCTGTCGAAGCCGCAATATCCTAGACACAATGAGCAGATGCGCCAACGTCCCGAACAGGTGTGCTCCACGGAGACGTGGCTGACCACCAGATGCACAGCCAAACGTTGAAGTACACCAAGCAATGCCATAGGAAATTGAAGCGATGGCCGCCGATGATGCACTGATGGAT